CTTACGGACAGGTGAAATGTGTGTTCGTTTGTCACCCCTGTCCTTAAAAAAGACAAACGCGTGGAAATTTGGATTCACAATAATAAAGATCTCTGGCGCCACTATATAGATCTTAAATGTGATGTAATGAAATTCTCAGAACGTTACGCCTGATCTTAAGTGAAGAAAAGTATTCAAATTTTCGGTGCGAGGCGAGGACACTATAATCTAAACAGCAAGTATGATGATGTTCCAAACCTGAGAAAAACCTATGTTCAACAGTAACCTGACGATGATGGACGTAATGTTTTCGTGAGAGAATTTAATTACAGCAATGGATGATAGTAATGAATAATAAATGATATAAGAATGATTCCATTTCCTTTATCCGACTTTTGTATCCATCTCTTTCGCTTTATAAGTACGTTGTATCCATCGTTATTTGATTATTTTTATACTTATCTATATGAGTTTTTATTTTATTAATATAATTTGTATAGAGTACCCGTTTATATGTTTACTATATATACACCTTATTACATAGTTTAAAGCATATTTATTTTACTATATTACATTTATCTAAATTTTATTGTATTTCATATTTTTGTTACTACTCGTATTACTCATACATATACATTGTTTGCATCTGTCACAGTTTCTATAATAATCCAAGGTTAATTGCTTTGTCGGTATTTCATATATATATATATATATAAAAATAAAATCAACTTGAACTTGTTTAGGTTTATTAAGCTTAGAGTAGGATAATAAATCAGTAGATTTTTGGTTAAAAATCTGGATTTTCTCATATTTATGTTTACATTCAGTAGTAATTTTGTCTTCTCCGTGTTCTTAATCGCTAGCCTTTATCATGAACCTGCGACATATAAATAAAAATATAATAAAATTTTTCATTACGGTTGAGCAGACTCGTGGTAGCTACTCGTACAGTTGTCGTTCTTAACATGTTTGTCGCTTTCAAAATTTACTCATACCTTACTATAATATTTTATCGAAGCAACTTTACTGACCGGAGTTAAGATTCCGTAAAGCCAACTTGGACTTATCTTAGTTTATGCTAAGCAATATATTTAACATTTTTACAATTCAACACAAATATTTTGAACTATAAAATGATAATAAATAGCAATGGCAAGCATAATAAATAATGATTTCTTATATTTACGCGAGTACCATATGTGTAAAAAATTAATTATACGGATTATAACGCGATAGACTCCGTAAAATTGGTTTTATTCCGTTTTTTTTAATAATTTAGATTCCGGCGATCTAAGCAAAACCTGAGCAAAGTCAAAGTCGACTCTGTGAATCTCGAATTCTGTGTCCCTTATCAGTAGTTCTAGCAGTGTATTTGCTGTCATATAGTATATCAAATTAGCATTTAAATGATCAGGTAACTAGTATATATTTAACGTAATGATTAGCATAGCGTCTGTCTTCGGAGATAATTATTAGTGTATGCAAATGGGTCCTTCCAGTCAAGGTGGTTTAGATCTTAATGCAGTAGAAATGTTGGATCAAGTGGATTTCAATTGATATTAACTAATATTTGATTATATACCGCATAATCGTGTATTACTTTACTGTTTCATGTGAAATGTTTACCGCTATCTATCGGATTCCACGAAATCTACGTGCTATTTCCACAATAGTCTATTTATACGATATGTAAGAACTTTCATTTTAATACCTGTTGTTGTCTACTGCGCTTATGCGTATACAAATTAGAATTCAATAAAATAATATTTGAATTTGGAATTTGGAACTCAAAGATACCCTGACGAGGTTTTTATACTAGGAGGTATTACGCTCAAAATGAGAATGTCAATCTGACAGATCTAGAGCCCAAACTTCAAACTAAAAATATATTTCATAATTATTACTTATGAAATTGCAATTTATTTCATGTTTGGTCATAATTTGTTAGTTTTTTTTTCCTTAAGGCACTTGTCCCACCACCGACGAAGTAACGATTAGCTATTGGCTGTTTTCTCGCTCAAGAAACGAACAATTTCTTTCCAAAGAAAAAAATACCTTCTCAATAACTGTATTAGATTTATTTTGGGCTTCGTAAGTACGACCATATTTTGAAATATAGATCTAAGCTTAATTGGTTTACAATCCGGCAGAGACGCAATTCCAGAATATTACTTGTCCTTTTTTCCATACTAAATGACCCATTTTCGCCTTCTTATCTTAAGAGTAAATATCACTATTTCTCATCATCTCACGATAGGATTCAACGTTATTCTTCTAACAATAAAATATGTATTCCTGTTCATTTCACCGAGTTCTATGGTAACTCTTTTACACTTCGGGCTACACGTACATTTGGAACTCCTTGCCGATTTTAAAAAGTTGTATCGTAATCATCTATTAAAGACCAAACGCTTCTTACATGAATCATTCACGTCATTTATATTGTTAACAGATGTATTATATTCATAGTTATTTACATGTATTATTTATATATGTATGTATAGGTTATATTTTTATAGTTAATTTATTTTATATATTAGTAAAACGTATATATTACGTAGTTAATTATGATTTCTATTTTGTTTTTATTCTATATTGTTACACCTACGTCAAATTCTCACCACTCCATGGGTTAACTGGTAGATAATGCCTCAAGGCATTAAGGTAGCAGCTGTCACTAAAGCCATGATCGATAGCTACCATGAATCATGTCCAGTAATCACTCCACCAAAACATGCTGAGCAAAAGCAACAGTGGTGGGGTAAAGAACTAGTCAGGAAACGTAAGAAGGTAAGAAAAGCCCTAAATAGGGCAATGGATACCTCAAAGGGTGAAGACTGGCTTCTATATAAGAAAGCCGTTTGTATTCTTTTGATTTAAGGAATGAAATAAAGGATAAATAAAATAAATAAACAAACAAGAGATATAGATCCCGTGTCAAAAAGAGATACATATTATTATTAATAGTTGATCGCTGGTTGTTTACACTGCCGGAAAGAGCTCTCTCTGCACTAGTTTGTCGCAGCGATAAGAGCTATTAAAGGTATACTTCGCTCGGCGATACTCGCTTGACCGTCAGAACGCACGCAGTGACCAACCAGCGCACATAGGGGTATTTTGCTGATCTAGCCGGTCAAAATTATTTATTTAGTTTTTTACTCCAGGGACTTGCCCTAGTTAACTATTCTACTTTTCTTTTTTAATAATAACTTAAAATATTGGGAAAGACTATAAAAAATATATTTTAGTAATTTATAACTTCGATATTTCTTCACTAAAAAAGTTTTTCTTTGTTATCCTATACTGTTTTGTATGCTTTTTTCAACTTTGTAGCTCTCGTGTGCAGCATGTCACACAACATAATATCATTATCCGCTGTAATACGTAAGGTTTCAGTTTTCTTTCTCTTACTTCTTTCGCTTCGCTCATTAAATGATTTTGATGCTCGACCCGAACTTTTAGGTTTCGCTCTCGGTATTTCCAATGTATTTTTTAGCCATTCGTCGTTATCAAAAAGAAATCTAACTTCCGTTCATCAGCTTTTTTTCCACCTTTGTTTAAATTCCGACTTAATGTGCGTAAACTTGTGCTTCAACGCCTTTAATTCATCTTCAGAATAGTTTTCGCTGAACAAAATCCAATTTACCAAGTAATTTAATTTTTCTTCAAAATTAGGCAAATATTGCACTTTTATTTTATCAAAAAGTGATCTACAGGTCACTACTCTAACACCTGAGTAACCAGGTGACCCTTAAACTAAATAATTACCAAGGTAACATGGTTCAAATTACTATTAAAATTTTATATTTTTTTATTTTTTATTATTATTTTTTTTTCACTGTCTTAGTCTGTCACATCTGGGAAAAAAAGGGGGCGGGTATGGACGGCTAATTAGGCCACAATAATTTTAATAAACTATAGCCTGTCGTTATAACCGGGAAGAAACTGGAAGTACAACAAAAACCTTTTCAAACTTAAAATTTGGTTGGAAATTTTAAGAATTTTAAACTATATTTTCAAACGTCAAATAATAATATCCTATCATTAAAAATTACAGCATAATAACAATATGCGTTCTTACTTCCTTGATCCATATCCGTAACAATATTTTAAAAAAAGTCAGGAGTCACGAAAATATTTAACTTTTTGTCAGATACTATCACACTTAGGAAACGCATAAGATACGTGCAGTTGAAGCGATGACTAACTTCCGACAAAATAATCGCCGGTGCATCCGACAAGAGACCGAGACGGGTCGTCAAATTGTTCTCTAATCATTCGATAACAATAGGAACCAGTTGTTTTTTACCTGCGACAACTTCTTATAAATTGGTTTATGACCGGCTAGATCAGCAAAATACCCCTATGTGCAGCGGTCAATTTGCTCTACAGTTCGGTCCTGAGTGCACTCGCTTATAGCCCAGCGACAAAACTATCGGAACTGCCCACTCGCTTCTTGCTACTCGTCAAATCTTATTTAGATTCTAGCTCTACTCACTTCTTGTTCACAATTTGCCGTGGTACAATTAATTACGGAATTTTGTTATAAAATATGATGTTAGAGTGAAATTGTCAGTAATGCCAGTCCCAATCTTGGATTTTTACGTGACAAGTAAAACTTTATACCCCTTTTTTTCAGCATAATATTGCACGGAGGTGTATTAGATTTAGCATTGGTAGGTACATTTTATATGGAGAAGGAGTATAAAATATGTGTGTTACAAATATATGAAATAAATAAATAAAAAAACATTCATTGTTTATCTATGATGTGAGATCATAGAATTACATATGCGTATCAAACACATTAATTTACGGCCAAATAGTAGCACAGCGCAAAGGGTAAAGGATACTACATTTTAGCACAGAGTAGAGAATAGAGATTGTCGCCAAAGTAACATAAAATGTATGAGCCGACCCATTTGTTCATATTATAGCGACCATATTATAGCAGCAGCATGATTCTGTCACATATAAAAACCATGTCTAATAAATAAAAATTAAAATACAGATGTACTTACATTGTACTTTAACCTCCGCCGTGGCCTCGATGACGCCGAGTACGCTCGCCGCTTCGCAGGTGTAGTTCGCGGACTCTCTGATGTCTTCCAGTATTAGCGTATTAACACCAAGAGGAGGGTTATCTTCTGGTGTTAACCATTTCGTCAGACCTGGAGAGATAAGTAAACTTTGCGAGTTATAAATAATAAACTATACATTATATAAATAAAATTGAAATGTCTATCCTCATATCGAAATAAATGCCTTTTATTGAGCTAAGGGGTAATATAATATAATTAAATATAATGTAATTATTTGCATGTTACTAAGACATAAATTATTTTAAAAAAATTGTCCCTGGTCAGTCTGTTCGGGTTAATGTTCAAAATGGCTGAACCGTTTGTAAAGAAACCTGAAGAATAGGTAGAGAGCCCCGTCAGGAGTGACTAGGCTGTGTCTGTATATGAATAATTTGGGAAACTTTTTTTGAGAAATCGATAATTTGATAATATAAGTGGTCTTTAATTATTATTTAAATATGTATAAATATTGTAAATAGTAACCAATATAAATATTAAATCTGAATACAAGATAATACTGATGAAATATTGTGTTGTCATCGGTTCTTACTTAATACATCCGCAAAATTTCAGATTATTCCAACATGCGGTCGCTTAAAAAAAACTCGGCAGTTAGTTTCAACAGGCAGTTTTTTTTTTACAATACGAGTGGATTAATACATCCACTATAATTACAGTCGGTTACAACTTTTAGTCTTGATAATGAAGTACTATAATGGCGACAGAAATAGATTAGAGGGTGGTGCATAACCTTATGGTTTTTTTGGCAAAAGGGCCCAACATACAAAACGAACAAACAAAAAATGGAAATATCTGAAACATCGTTTGAAAATAGTAGCCGAAAATTTTTGGTGTATAACTGTGGTATGTACAGTCATTTGCAAAAGTCCCTAAAGAATAAGCAGAACAATAATTGCTTAAACTTAAATCTGTTGTGCTATGTGTTACGTTCTATATTAAGTATTACTGATAAATTATGCTATTTATTGCTGAGTGAGTGATTATTTGTACTATGTATAGATTTTTTGTAGACGACTGTACAAATATTTAAGTTGGAATACCATCAAATGACTCGTATATCTGAAAATGGTAACGCTTATTACTGAGTCACGCGTCATAAAGAAAAACTTTATAGATTTAACCCTTAAAAAGAACAATAATATTAAAAAAAAGAACAAACTAATAAAGAGACCGAATGGCAGTCGATTTACACAAATCACCTGCTAAATGTACCCTAAAGGCAATTTAGCGGGAACACCTCTCTCCATTACAAGTCGAGTATGAAAACGGCTCACCTTTTCTCCATTTGACGGTCGGCATCGGTGACCCAAACGCGACACATTTCAGGGTCAGATTGCCACCGAGCATGACCTCCGTTTTCGGGGGTGGCGGTATCGAAAATTGAGGCGCCACTCGTCTCACTGTGAACAAGAAAACTCATAATTTGTAACTTTGATATATTATAATATTACAAATATTACTGGTTTCTATTAACATTATATTACTGGTTTCTATTAAGCTCAGGGGGTTGTTGGTAAATGTTTCTTTGTCCGTTTGTCTGTCTGTGTGTCTGTTCGGGCTAATTTTGTGAACGGTTGAAACGATTGTGATGAAACTACCTGATGGAAGGTGTAAAATTTTACCCATAGATATCTATATCTATCTTTGCTCGTTGTGAAGCACCGACGCTTCGGGAAGTCTGTGAACATATTCAAGGTCTTCCCAACCACTACGTCAGATTTGATAAACCACAAATCCTCGCAAAAGAACACTGATTCCTACTATATACGATACGCGAGGCTATTGAAATTAAAAAACATCCCAATTTCAATAGAGAAGATGGATGGGTGCTGCCATCTGCTCGGGATCCTATAATTAACAAAATTAAATACAAACCCAAGCTTATCACTACAACACTTCAAGATACTCTAAGTTCGTTCTGCGTAGATCTGACCAAAAATTAATATTCAAAACCTGAAGGTAGCCGGGCTAACTATGATATTGGGACGTTAAACATCTCAGTCCCCCGTGACCTTGGGTGCTGTAAAGCACCCGAAAGTCGGGAATTTAAAAATAAGTTAAAATAACTTAATTAAACGCGATAAAATCTGATTAAGTTTTGGTATAGATAAGCTCCAAATTTGTATGTAGAGTTTTTAATTTAAGAATTTTTTAAACTTTATTTAATTTAATTTTTGACTTGAAGGAAGTCGATTGATGCAGGTGATTTATGACCACTGTTTATTAACGGCTCCGTGGCGCAGTGGCTTAGCAATGAGCTATAGCGCGGCCGCGGGTTCGATACCCGCACGGGACAAGAATTTGTATGACCTAGAAGTGATTGTTCCGGGTCTGGGTGTTGGTACTCGTGAAATTTGTGTATGTAAACTGCCCTCACGATACAGGAGAAAATCCTAGTGTAAACGTAAAAAATGTAGTAACGTAAAAAAAAGAGAAAAAAAAGATTAGATCATGCTTCGTGGCATCCCTTAGGCATAGGTATGCTCAGCAGTGAACTCGTGAGGAACATAATGAATAAAAAGAAGAAAAAAAAGAAAAGTAATAAATATACATTATTATAAGTAATAAATATACATTTTTATAAGGCTAAACAACTTAATTGAAACCCCCACAGGATTCTTGTAACCCAAAAAAAAATCAAAAATTCGGCTTTAACCTCACGACTGTATTTGGATATCTCTTTCTAGTATACATAATAGCTTGCTTATGTATACTCTAAGAGATAACTGAATTATATTATTTTGATGCCAAATTTCAACTATTATCAAAGTGAAACAACCTCAAAGGAGAACTTTTTCGACGGACGGAGAGATAGACACTGTCAAAAATGTTCGGTTTTGCTGAATTGAGTAACTACGGACGACTACAAATGGCAAAAGAGGATACCAGCGGAATTTATTTTACTGTTTTGTCGCCGGTCATTAAACAACATTTTGAAACAGTAGTAGGTTTTAAAAAAAAACATAGGAAAAACGTGTAGTGTATTTAAGTGGTAGAGCCATACTGCAGCTACATATATAATGGTTGTAACACGATTGGGTCGGCTCGACCAGGGATGGATCAAGCTCACACAGAATATCAGCGTAAAATAGCAGCTCAATGCCGCTGTGTTTCGTATGGTGGTTAGTGCAGAGAACTAGAAACCCTTTTCACTGGAAACAAGAAATTCCATTTTAGTCCTCAGAAGTAACAATGTCTATGGGCTTAATATCAGGTGCACTGTGTGCTCGGGTGACACCCTTATTCTATAAAAAAAAACTAAGACCAACAAAAATTATTTAAATATAGTTAAACACAACATACATTACAAATAACACCGTAGTGTGCAATTCTGCCGTTTGTGAATAATTTTATTTTCGTCAAAACAAAGAAAGATTTTTCATTCAATAGTTTTTTGCGAGCTAAACGATATACAAATCGTTAGAAGAATTAATTGTTTCCCAGAATATATCTAACCTTAATTGAACCGTATGAGAAAAGTTCCATGTAATAATTATTCGCCATGAACCCGCTTATTTGTCATAACACGAGCACGCTTCAGCAAAGACAAATGACACGCGACACGGCAATCGCGTTAATATGACGCAGAGAGTCGAGCGGGCACAAAAGGCACTAGAAGAGCAGTTGAATTGGTGGAAATATTTGCATAGGCGTATTCATACGAAGCTCTATTTGCCAATGCATTATGAAACATGATGACTACACGGTTCAGTGGTTGAAGTAACTGCAGAAGCAGTATACTGTGCATGAAAATACTGTTCCAGCTAGGATTGGGATCTAAGATACACGGCATAGATATACTGATTAGGGTAGAATGTCCTAAATCTGTCGCCTGCTTAAAGATTGTCGTCTGAGATATAATTTCACATAAATTACATTATATTTTGTTACTGTAGTTTTTGTGCAAATTTATCTGTTAGTTACTCCCTGTCACGAATAATAAAACTGACTGCGATAGGGCAATCCTTTCAAATATATTCACGGCCAAAGAGCCGACAGGTGCGGAAATGTCGACGATAACGCCGTTTCCTTAGCACGGAGCGACCAAATTTCGGACAAAGTGATTTTTAAGTAACTTAGTATATTTTTCTCTGCGGTTTTGGTATTTCTTAAGGTTAGTTTTAGAATAAAGAACTGGAATTAATTCTTGTTTTGTATAAATAAATTTATAAAAATGAGTAAGTAATTTTTCCTGTTCTATTAAACAGAAAATAATCTTCAGCAATGTTGGATGAAGATGTTAAGGTTTCTAGCCTTAAGTGAAAAAACCGACCAAGTGACCAAGGCCCCTACATTGTAGGGTTCCGTAGTTGCCCGTCACAATACGTGGGATTTCTTGATAATGAGCGTATTAAGTGATTTCGCGGTTTGACCACTAAAATGACTAAAATCGTCTAAATAGGACGAATAACTGAAGGACTAATTTTACAAATAGACTTATAGTGAGTGGGATTTAAAAAAAGATTAAAAAACTTCTATTTTGAAAATAATACAATCTACAAAGATGGTTATAGTTGGACTACCTATAAATTCCCGGCAGTGCAGCCCTTAGATATACACACAATAACAACAAACTAACGAATAAGTGAAAGTACTAAGTAAGTGAGAAATCGTTTTCTCCATTTAATGTTTATTTCTTACAGTTCACAAAAACATTACAAAGTTATAATGCAGCTAGTTTTAGGTCATTTTCTAAGGAGTTGTAACGTAATTTTTACTAATCCAAGTGCATTTTATAAGTTGGTCGACTAACTTGCTAATTCTACTTAGTTGTGATAGTTTTTCTTTAAACTTAATTATATAATTACGATTGTGTATACTTTTCACATTTCCAAACGCAGCTGTTTAAATGGTGGAGGGGTGGGGGACATATGAAACTAATGAAAAATACCACTTTAACACTAAATATTTTGCAAACGGACCCCTTAATCGAAAAGAAGTTCTTCCATACCCCAGTGTTTTTGAACGACCTGTCCAACGATTCTCCCCCCACACGGTGGAATAGACAGGTAAAAAATAAATCATCCTCCATTTACCTATATGGGAGGTGGTACCCAAAATTAAAATGTTTTTTAAGATTTTAATTCACAGTTTTGTAGGTGTGATAAACATGCCAAATTACAGATTAGTAGCCTAGGGTCTCTGAGTAAAACTGCGGACGGACGGAAGGACGGCGACATGGCGAATCTATAAGAGTTCCTTGTTGTTAAACTATGGAACCCTAAAAAGAAAAGCTGCGGCCTAATAAGTGACAATGAAAAACATTATTTTTTAACCATTATAAGCCAGTCCGTGGATGCTATCTCACTTGATGGTAAGTGGTATGGTAGTTAAGTACTATATTCCATAGTATGCTGGCTTTAGAGTTAAATATATCGAAATTAGGGCTAGACCAGTAGCATTTGGCAAATTTGGCGTCTAGCTACTTAAGCCTTAATTAAGTATTATAGTAAAATATTACATTATTTAAATTTATTTTAGGCTAAAACTATATCGATTTTGAACCCATTTTAGAAAGGAAACAAACCCTTAAGAGTTTGGTATGGCTTAATATTGTTTGGGTCAATAGAGAGATAAATAACAAGCGGCTTGTGCCGCCAAGTGCCGCCTTGGGGGCATTTTATCACGTCGTTCATCCATCTGAATTAAATTTTATATATAATTTTGGTTTAATAATCATATGTGTTTTTGGTTTAATAATTTCATGCCTATAAGTGATAGTAACATGCATTGTTAAAGTTATTTTAATCAAAATTATGTCATATTTTCTTATTTTGCATAATTATTTTTAAAAATTTTACCAATGTGGTATTTTTACCAAGGTGTTTGGGGGAAGTTATTAAATCCTCCCCAAATTCCGTGTACATGAAGCATCCACATAATTAATAAATGGTGATTATGTCGGTTTTAAGCATGCAATCTTCCTAGAGTAGGTTTGGTTAGCGGGAGTAGTACCTACCATGCTACATGCCTGCGTTATAGGTTAATTTAAGTTACGTTTTTTAAAGACCTTTATCTAGTAATTCAGTAGTAGCTTAAAAAAGACGAATAGAGAAAATAAAACCACATCTTAGAGGTTAAATTGGCCAGAGAGAAAGGTCTGGAATTTAATTAATTTAAAAAAATCTAAGCGCTCCCTCGCTGTTTTCATAGTACGCGACGTACATTTATCACGTGTCGGGTCAAGGAAAACATCGTGAAGTCATCATGTCTAAAAATTAAAAAAAAATATTTCGAAAATATGTAAAGCTCGTTAATACGCATATAACTGGGGCACTGCGGTGGATACTCTCATACCCTAAAACCCTCTCAGAAATAACAGGTGGCCTATGCCCAGAAGTGGAATGCAAATGGTATTTGTTAATAGGTTTTAGTTTTTAGTCCATATCAGCCGTCAGTA